TTAGGGTTTAGGGCTTATGAGGGTTCAAGGCTTATTAGGGTCCCAGGTTACGACTTGTGGTCGAAGGTTTCCGACCTAAGACTTCGGTCTTGCGATCTGGGGTATATGCTTTCGCCTTTCGGGTTTGGGGCTTAGGCCCTGCCTGGACCCTAAAGAACCTACTTTTTAAGGACTTGTGCAAGGAATTTAAACCCTAAACCTGGGGTATTTAGGGTCTAGGCTTTCGGGTTCTGGCTCGGGTTGCGGAGTGGACTTTGCGTGCCGAACACGATCGGCGCTAAAGCCAAGCTGATGCCAGCTACATCCCACCCTCAACCCTAAACCCTGAACCCTAAACCCTAAACCCTGAACCCTAACTCTAAACCCGGAAACCTAGTGCCACGTGGGCCCGAAGCCCACCTTTGCCATTTAGGTATGGGTAGAAATCCAAGTCAGAGTCCCTTCTCAGGTCCCCAAACTAGTACGGCACCCTGATGAAAAGATCCTAAAAAGGAACGCTGATTTAGAGAGCTACCCATATGCAAGATGTAGACACTTCTCGATCCTAAGCCCTCTTGCTGCTCTGCATGGTCATTGAGAACTTGAAACTTCAGACCTTCCAAAACAACGGTTTAGGGCCTAAGTTTAGGGCTTAGGGTTTAGGGTGTCGTAGACGCCTCAACAGCCTCAACTGTCACCTCCAGCCAGCCGAGACCGTAAACCTCAAACCGTGAACCCTCAACCTACATGCAATTGACCTCTACTGGAAGAGAAGCCAGCAAGTTGGAATGTCGCTGTCCTCATGCCATTAAAGTAAAGGTATGGAATCCCCGACCTGATCATTCCATGTTCCAACTTTCTGGCGTTCACTGTATACCTAGAGGGTCATACACCACCTTCCTTTGCGGGGTACCTAGTTCTAGCTTTGTGGGTGGGATCTGTTGTACCCTAAGGCTCCATGTACCCATATAGTAGATACTCAGGCCTTAAAGTACCTATATAGGGAACCCTTTAAGGCCTAAGTATCTACTATACAAGTACATGGAGCCTTTGGCTTAGAGAAAAGTAGGTAGTAGGTACTACGCAGAGGACCGACTGCTCACGCACACACACCCTAGTCCCAAACCCTCATGCGATCAGCCTAACCCGCTAAACCCCTCCGTCTCATCCGCAAGCCCTGCCTGTCGGAAGCCCAAATAAGCTACCTTTCTAAGGATACTTGTTATGATTTCCTTCTTTCAATCCTGGCAAAGGTAGGTTTTTCAGGGTCTAGGTAAGCCCGCCCTATAAACCCCATAAGCCCTAAGGCCTCTCCTTTCCAGGAATCCATAAGGGTTACAAAAGGGGGGTCCATAAGGGTGGTAGACCGTAGGGGCCTTAATGCTTAGAATTGGGTTTTGGTGTAGATTAAATTATAAGCAGAATCAGGAACCCTACGGAGCAATGTTGGGAATTATTGAGGCTTCTATATTACTCCCTGTACTACTACATTAAGTGAAAGCACTGACCCAGTCAACTAATTGTTGGGGCATGCGGCTTCGAGCAACACGCCTGTGACATCTTTAAACAACCACAAAAGTTCAGGCACAATTCTACAGAGTATCTTGATGACATGTGATGTAGTGCCAATCGACAGTGCCATCCTGAATGTGAAAGACCGCCATGGTAGTTGCCGGTGCAAGTCTACTGGTCGGTACTGCCACATGCAATTAACAAATTGTTCGGAGTAGCCGACGTAAACCCGAAATCAACCTTACGACTCTGAATGGGCCGTATGGAGGACATCGTGTATTTTCAGCATGTCAGCGTTGTCATCGGTGTGGGCGCGCTCACACAAAGCTACGCGAGCGCAGATGCTCAGGTGATGACCGCATAAGGAAACTTCAGAAACCATGCTTCTAAGTACTTGGTGTCGTTTTCAACAGTCCCCAAAGCTATTTGTAATTAGGGCTCTGTATTAAACAATACGGGAAGTTAAAAATCATCCCATGTCGATACCTGGATTAGCTCTCTCAACCCAAGCCTACCTGCTACTCTACTTTGGAACTGACACCCTAAGTCCTAAACCCCAAAATGCTTTGGTATTTGTGGACAGCGGTTTGCGGCTGTATAGGGTTCCATGCTGGTTCGAAGAAGGAATGGTTTGGGGATGCAGTTTCTTCAAGCGAACCTGTACAGGTACCTACACGTGTAAATAAGATATATACATGTATGTGTGTGTGTGAATGTATACATATATACACAGACATACATACGTCTGTTCGTCTGTCTGTCTGTGCGTCAGTCGGTCCGTCTGTCTGTCTCTCTGTTTCTCTGTTTCTCTGTCTGTCTGTTTGTCTGTCTGTTTGTCTGCTGTACGGTTTTTACATGCATATATGTTCACATACGTGTATATATATATATATATCTTTGTGTGCATGTACATGTATGTATATATATATATATGGTCACCCCCCCCAAGATCCACACCCGCCTCTTCTGTATGACTGTACAGGTTGCTTCCTTACATTGGTACATGACATAGGAACACCCAAAGCACCGTAAATACCGACACAATCGTGCCTTTCGCCATGTGCATGTAAACCGCGCTGCTATATGTCGCCGGCTTCATATGTGTCTAAATCCGTTACCGAATCTCGGTCCCAACTTAATGATAGTTTATGTGTTGGAGAAGCTGAAAATGCTGGAGGGTGTGCTATTTGTGTTAATGTGGTGCTAAAAAACCTCGTGTTTTTTTGCGTTTTCTAGTGTTTTATTGCGTGTTCTTCA